TATGCACTTGGACAAAGCATTTACATGCTTCTGATGAATATGGTTCTTCAAACACACGATCGTCTTCGGTAACTATCCGTTGTAAAACTATTTCCATAGAAGTGTTATGATCTCAATAGAACTGTAAAACGAATCTAGCTTGGTTCATCTGTTTGTTTCAAACCGAACAGAGATGGAGTTTCGCGAAGTGAGCAGGGAGTGGGGCTGAGCAGTGAAAAATGACGCAGGCCACCCAAAAATATTTATATGCTACACAATAGCTATACATTACACAGGAGCTATACCTACACAACACCCATGCATACGCCGGCTTACTGCCGACAAGGCCGCGCCACAAACACTTACGCGGGGGATTTTCCACTTATATCGTGAGTTAGCATTTTCGGGTTTTCTCGCTCCACTCTCAGGCGGCATCTCCCATACTGGCCACGATTATGCTACGCGTAATGATTTTCCGAGTTATACCGTCGTCGTTTCCTTCAACTTGGTTTTTCCTGTGCGCGTAACTTGGAGCAATGGCTCCGCTTTTTTCTTTTTTTTTGCAATATTGTCGTTCTCACCCGACGTATTTCTTACGGACACCAAATGGCAATCACAAGGCTCCCAAAGCCCAACTTACATAAAAGCAACAAGTGCCATGACTGACTCAATGATTTAGGTGAAAATCCTGCATGGTTTTTGAAGTTCATGCCCGCACATGACGTTGTTTAATACATTATGAATACCTTTCTAAAGATAGTGGCTGTGCTCACTAATAATTAACTCCACGAAAGAAAAAAAAAACATTTTGGGAGTTAATTTGGCCTTAGGTTTGGTTGGGAGTAATAGGTCTCCCGGCAATAATAATATTTGCTTAGATTAAATATGCATGTCTTTGTTACTGGCGGCTGTTGGCTAGTTGGCGCACTGTATTGGTCCGCAGACAATTATCATGGAGGCAATTCTTTGTCAATAACCGACTAACAGGCGCGACTGCAAGTGGTGGGAAAAACATTGGCGCACCGACATTGCATGGGCTCTTACGAAACAGATGCTTTCGTCTTAACACGGGCAGCAAACGTCACTTTACTGGGAATCCTCAACCAGCATTCATACATTCATACCGTTTCATGCATGCTTGTCACCGGCCACATCAAAAGGAGGCCTATAGTGTGGTCGTTACACACAGTCTGCGCAGGTTATGTACAACGATCAGACCCCCTCAATTATGAGCGGAACCACACGGCCTACACCACGCATACCTCGGAATTTGTCCCCAGTAAATAGTAGCCACCTGGTGCAAGACTCAGCGCCGCATCACCACATAGCCCCCATCTTCTCTGGTCACTGAATAATGCCGGAATCCCCCTCGGCACGCCGAATCCCCATCGGCTCATATGTACAAACCTCGCCTTCCGGAATTGCTTTAATGATTTTAATAACAGCACCCTCAGTGACCGAATTCACTGCCGCTGCTCAGGGTCAGTTACTCATGGTTATCTTAGCTAGCCTCCTTCTGTGGCCGCGAACCAATCCAGTTACGGAAAAACATCAACCAACTTTTCCGACAGACCAACGCCCTTTTCCGACTTCCATCTCCCGGGAGTCGCAAGAAGACAGCTGAAAAGCGAGTATCACGTTCTGCGAGTTGCAAGTCCATCAAAGGTACCCGTCACGTGCTACTGCTACTCTCACCAGCGGCCAGCGGCGTGCAAAAATGCGTCCCACCTCACCTGTGAGTCGCGGTGAGATCGACCAACAGCCAATTCCCTAATTTCTGCGCGGAGTGGGACCTTTCAACCCACGGCTAGACAACTGCCTACGTACACTTTAGGACTTTCTCCACCGCTCCCTGCGAGGAGTCATAACGCGAAGCATCAGTGACGCGTTTAGCCCGTGGTGACAAAAACCTTTTCATTGCACTCGTGGAAAATTAACAGTCGCCCCGAGTTGTACGCAATGTATGAGCTGTGCAAGATCATTAATTTGATATATAAGCATGGACCTGATCCCGACACATCCACTCTCATAGCACAAAATTCAGGTCACACATTTATTCGTTTATCTGCTATTTTCCCGCAGACCATGCATTGAAGCGCATTCAAAAATGCCAGGCAGGGGCCGGCACGTCATACAACACACATTAGCTACATATTTTTAGATTAAACATTCCTGGCCTAACATTCCTACAGAATGCTTACTCTTAATTGTCTGATAAGAGGAAAAGGGGATGGGATCTCAGAATCCCCGCAGATCGTCGATTCCTCTGTCGAGCCTACATTGCTCAGAGGTGTAGGCGCCGGGCGCCCGGCCGTCAGCGCGCTAGACCGATATGCTCCCCCATCACCGCGTTGTATCAATGTCCCTCCGACAGCCGACTGTCACTGCTACTGCACTGTCCGGACGAACCAGTGTTCTCGTTTGAACGTCCCTACTCCGACAGGGTGGGGACGTTCATAGACGCTCGACATAGCGGCGCTTTTAACGGGCCGCCCCTATTGATCGTCCTCGCACGCATGTCCGGAAAGAGCGCGCTGGCCAGACGTAACAAAAAACGTGCTCGCACATCGGAAAAACAGCACGTGGCCCGCGGCGGATAGGTACGTCGCGTTACACATCTGAAGCAAACCTGCTCAGTCCCGCCCCCGGGATTACAGAAGAATACACGCGTTGTAAGAATAACTTACTTGCACTAAAAAACCGGCGTGTGACTGCGGCGGATCGATACAACTGCTGTCCTGTGGCCCGTCTGTCCTATCTGCTTGCGTTTGGTCAAATGTGGTACTGTCTGGTTCCGTCAGGCTCTGGTCAGCACGTGCCGTCCCATCTGGTCCTATTTGGGTTCGTTCGGTTCATTCCATCCTCATCTCATATGTATTTCCCCCACCCATTTTCCCACATCTATGGAACAAGAGCATACACCTTTGGAACATAGCAGTAGCCGAAGTCAGGAAACGTATGTTCCAAAGGCAGTCACGAACAGGCAGCAGAAGTGTAGGCACGCCAAATGTCTGTGGCCTTAAAATAAACGAAATAAAAAGTGGCAATCTTCAAGTCAAAAAAACATCTGCAAACGAATCGGATAGCAAATAACATGTAACTCAAAACATGTTTGAAACAATCATAAACCTCACTATGTGCGCATAGTGCTGGACGCACGGTTTACAAAAACACTTGCTCAAAACAAGATTTGTATTTTATTTAAGCGATGTTTTAGAGCTTATTCACAAACGTCAGCTAAAAAATTTGGCAGGCAAAGGGGCTTTTGCGCGCAAAGACAAAAACATCCGTGGAACATAGGTGCATGAATTGCCTGTGAACGAAGTTCTGGGAAAACGCATCTATTTTGGTGGAAAGATAGTCAGGTTCGACCAGGTTAGGCACCTGTATGGTTGCTATCGTCAAGCATTCCACTAGCCTTTCAAGTTTATGGATATGGGTGATCATTCGACAATCGCTTGTGATGCACAGCACTGCCCGGTTCCGCATCACTTTTGATTTATACCGATCATGTCAGAGACACTGCTGAAATGGTCATGCACTTTGTGGGCGACGCATTCAGCTACGCCTTACAGGTGGCCTGCGCTGGCGTGACCTAGTGCACACAGGGGCGCGCACTGGCGTGACCTAGTGCACACAGGGGCGCGCGCTGGCGCCAGTGAGATCGCACTTTCCTTTGTCGTCTGTCACACTGTCATACTGACCACCGCGGCTCCGAGCCGCTGACGTCTGAGCTGGGCTTCCAACCGCCATCAGTTCTGATCAAAACACCAACAGTCGCATCACTAGCCAGTAAGCAGCGCTCGGTGCCATGCTTAAACACTCCCAGAGTGCCGAGGGTTCATCTTGAGTATCGACGAAGGCTATGCCGCCAGTGCCAACATCCATTACTTAACACGTCACACCCGTATTGCTGGCATCGCTGAGCCATTTCCCATACAATGTCGTCTTACAGCCGGTGAGCTTGGCCCGAACATTTTCGGGCCACGCACGTCGGTCCTCGCGGCTGCGGGCGCGCGCCGCCCGCCTGTTTGACAGGTGAAACCCGACCGCGGCGGCGTGCTCACGCCGCTGGCGCAGCTGGCGCCGCGGCACAATGGCCGCGCACCGCGCCAGAATGGGGGCGCGCGCCGATCACGCCGCACGTGGGCCGGGTGGATGAGCGCGCACGCCGGCCGACCGATCCGGCCACACCAGCGGCGTCCTGAGCGGCCGGCGAGTAACGGTCACCTGCAGTGCTGCCGTCTGCCCCGGGCGCTACGCGTGTTGTGGGAGCGGTAGGCCGACCTCAAGGCTCTGCAGCTTAGGGCCGACTTCCCACGGCCACGACTCGCTGTGGGAGTTCAGTAGGGTGATGTCTTTGCGGAGATCACACGGCCCAGGGCACATATCAAGAAGATTAATGACGATGTTGGACCGTTTGAAGAATGTCTGTTTTCTAAATTTTGTTGACTGGCGGCAGCACTCCTGATTGGCGCGTCAAGTTCAAACATGGATTAGACATAGACTTCCGAGGTCCGCTTCCCATATTCATCCTTTCGCTTTCTATTGGAATTGACGACACGCCATAACCTTGCTTTTAGCTGCTCCATCTGCGATCGGTGTGGTGGGCCGTCAAAACATCGACCAAAATAGCACTATTAAGCTCTTAAAAAGGTATGATAACCATCAATTCTATCTCAACAAAAGCGCTAACGCCATTGGGCGCAGAACGTTTCCAAAACATCATTCCACCATGACCCGACAACACAGTGCGCAAAATGAACACAGAAATCAGAGGGCCCCCAACACCTGAACCATCATAGATCCGACAATATGATGCGCTGACGCCCGACAGTCCGTGGTAAAGCTGACGGGCGCTGGGTACAGAACACGCCACTGGTGGCACAGCTTCATCATAAATGAGCCTATCGAGATACCGGGGACACCGCCGAGTACCCTTCGTTTCAAATACCTACTCTCCAAGCGCCTCTTGCCGATATTCTCCGGCAACGGGGAGCTATTTCGGCTAAAATGCAGCGAACGTTTGTGTGGAATTTATTCACTTCTATGACACGCTGATTTATCACACTACGTTGATCACGGATAGTGACACCAACAAGATGCCTTACAAGATGTCCAATACATGGGACGGTGTGGCGATACTGGTGCAAAGACACGAACAGGGAAGAGGCTCCTGGCACCACCCGCGAGCGTCCATAGTCCGGTCCCGCATGGGACCAATTTTAGGCTACGGGCAGCACCGGCGACAAGACCACAACCGACGTCAATTTACAGCTCCACCGCACTTGACCCTGCATACGGGTGACCTGGCCGCCACACCGCCACCTTAGTACATCGTGTCGTGCGAGTTTATCGAGCGCGGCTTCTTGATCTTCTCCAGGTTTTTGCTGATGACGTCGTGAAGCGTGGAGTAGCGGTTGCGGATCTCGACGAGCGTGAGTCGCAGCGAGATGAACTCCTTCTCGTCCATCTCGCAGACGGCGCGGCGGTAGTCGTCGAGGTGCGGGTACTTGGCCACCTTGGAGACCAGCTTGGCACGAAAGCTGTAGTAGCGCGACATCTCGTGGAAGTACGTGGCCGCCTCCGACTCGGCCGAAGACACCTCACCCAGCGTGTCCTCCTGAATCGAGACGCCGAAGTTGTTGCCGTCCTCTATTTTGGGGATCATGTAGGTCACCCACATTTTGAGCAGATTCGTCTCTTCCATAACTTGTCGGATTATCTGCAAACAAGGGTCAGACTTAACTTGGTGAGGAGATAGGACAGCGTCACCAACAGAGCGGGCAGCAGCCAATAACCGATTAGCATATAAGTCACACATCCCCGCGATTCTGATAGAATTCTACCACATTCACGACTGATGTGATCGCCCCTGAGGTTCCCACGCTAACCAATCTCAATGTTGTCTGTCACAGCCGTTCTTTAAATCACATCAATGGTTGGATCATGCCTTGCGTTACATGCAGTGCTGCCATCTTTATAAATGTATCATGTAGGAGCTATACATTTGCGTTAATATGACCAGAAAACACATTATTATGTTTCCTGCATGGCGAAAATAACAAATACAGGTCAGGCCATCGAAACACTTACTCTCACACACAAAATTTAAGCACACTCATTAATTTGACGAGACATCCTCGCTGGACACGACATTTCAAGAGCCCTTGGACCGCCATCCAGGCCCACCAGTTCGCGCTCGGCGCTCTCACCGGCTTGAGCGTCTCGATGATGTCGGTGATGGCCTTGTTGCAGGGCACGGCGCCGCTGGGCAAGACCATGACCGGCGTGCCCTCGACGGCCGCCGCGTCACCGCTGGTTCGGCGCCGCTTGGCCGGCTGCTCGCCCTCGCGCTCCGGCTCCGGCACGGGAATGTTCAATGAACTGTGAAACTGTGACAGATCGGTGGCTGTGAATGGTGACTTGGACAGCAGGTCGTTGAGGTGTAGGATGCGCTGTGGGAACACCTCCTTGACCAGGCGCTCGCCTTCTGCCGTCACTGTTTTCTTGAAGTCCTCCACCTTCGCCTTGGCCTCTTTGGCTTCACTTGATGACACCATGGCTGGGAATGTAAGCCTGGAAAGCCGACAGCATTGTCATGATTCAAGGCAAACCTGTGCATTTAAGATTGGTAGAAAGTGGAGTTACATGTGTGCTCACTAATACACACACACACACACACACACACACACACACACACACACACACACACACACACACACACACACACACACACACACACACACACAAATGTATATATATATATATATATATATATATATATATTTATATATATATATATATATATATATATTGGTCAGCAGTGGAATGGCCAAGGCTCATTCAAATAGGAAAATGGCTCCACACATGCCAGACAAATTCATTTTAAATCACAATTTTTTGCAAAGCCAACACCCACTGGAATTTGAGATGTGAGTGCATACAGTTGCGGCATGCATTTCTTCTGAGGTAAGGTGTTTGTCACAAACCGAATAATTTGTGTTGGGGTTATCATCTTCATCTGGTTTGTTAGAACACAATGTTTTGGCTAGTTTTCTGTCTGTCTGTTGTCAGACATTATTGTGTCCTAAGATGAGCTGGATGACATTTTGCATTCAGCCATGTGTCCATCATAACCTGAGTTCTCTCTTTGGAATTTTACAAAGATTACATGTAATGTGTACATTTTGCTAGAAAACCATACATTGTGATAAAAGATGAGCATGACTGGCATGTGTGCAGCCATTTTCCTTTGTCCATGAGCCTTGGCCATTCCACTGCTTGACCATCCCCCTAAATATTTGACCACTCACTTCCAAAATAACCAAAATTTTCTTAATGCACAAAACCTGTGTTTTAGTGGAGTATGCCCAGGTTCTCAAAACCACCCTAATATACCAATTAATATCATAAGATGTCATGGTAGTGAGTGGCAGTGGCATATGGCATTATGCCCACTCAATAAACTGTGAAAAGCAATGACCACTAATGTGCACCAGAACTGTTTCCCTAGCCACAAACAGGCAGCAGTTTCCTGAAAATGTTGCATATAAATGATAAGAATGATTGATAACATAAAAAATATTATATATATATATACATATATATATATACATATATATATATATATATATATATATATATATATATATATATATATATATATATACACAATGCATATATACATATATGAAGATGAGCAATACAACTGACCAAGCAAAATGCATAAAATCAGCCAAATAAGAAAATGCAGTCCATATCACTGTTCCATAACTACCAATCAGTGGCCAGTTTCACTCAACAATAGCTGTCATGATAAATATTTATACTGCTAGTTGACTAAGACCACTGATATCAGTGCTGCAAGCAGGAAATCAGATACCTTGTATTTTAGTGTATCTATTCATGTCCTGTGTAGTATTCACAAACACAGTGGCCTCACACAAACAATTTTGCTATTAAAAGAACAAAAAACTCAATTCACATCTCTCTTTGGATAGACAGAGAGCCAAGGACCCCACAAACATGACACAGGAGCACACAAAAGCGCATGATTTAACCATGCTGACAACAGAATACAACATTGGGGAACAAATGGGCATCATTAAATAGAAGAAAAACTTATGCCATCCAGCACAAAATCCTAAATGAACTATACAAAGACATCTGTTGGGTACTCAAGGCTGTCCTGACTTTCAGCTGCATATTTTAAGGGAGGGGAGTAAATTTTAACACCTTCCCATTGCAACACAATGATTACACTGGAATAAACCAGCCTACCCTGCTTTCATTGTGTGAGGTATTAGGTGCCAAAAAGGAGGTGCTCATTTAGCACTCAACTGAGCTTGGGTTGCAAACCAGACTTATTTGTTGCTTGTCAGGGCTATCAGCCAACAGCCCATGGCCTGTGTTTTGAAACATCAAAATAACTCATGATTGAAATCACACCTGAACAAACTGCTACATTGTTCGACCACCTCCTTTGACACGTTTCGGTGACGACCAAAGCCCCCTCCCCATTCATATGTCAACACGATGTATGGACGGCCCGAAACCCATTACATCTGCGTGTTTGCACCTGGCCATATTGGTAAAATGTGTCACGGCAAAGACATGCAAATGCCAAAACAGAGCTTGATACCACCTACCCGATGAACACTTCAAACCACAGTTGGTGACACTTCCTCCCCTGCAATCCCCACGGATCAGCACCACGCACGTATCAGCATTAGTCAGGGAAATACCAACGGCCCTAGAAAGCAGAGGGGAATCCTACACCACGCACTGTGTGCTTAACGCTAGCAACGAACCTGGCGGCTAAATTAGAAAGCTTGGACCTGCGTGTGAAAGCTTCAGAAATTCACACGTAAGTTTGCTCATGTAGAGCTCAGAGAAAACCTTCAAGTTCTGAATTTTTTTCGTTGGCTCTATTTTAACATTAATAGGGGAAGAATCAGCACATCGACGTAATATTGAGAAGTGTTCCTGTCGACGCGCGCACAGTTGACTGTGCATCGTAATCATGACAATAATGACGCGTATCATACATTGCTCGTTCGGCGCAATAGCGCAAGACCCTACCGAGAGCCTCTGCATAAAGCACAAATCACGGACAAAACGAGTAAGAACGGCGCCCCATTAGCCGGTCACCACAAATTTGCTAAAAATAACGAAACTGGACGCTTCTACCGCGTGAGATGAATTATAGCCAAAACAAGCATTTCACCAACGATTGCACTTTTGCTACCAACGTGATCGTTTTCACCTCCGGTTTTACCGCAGGCTTTAACCGTAGCAATAGACCGCGGAGAGGTGGCACGGGGGCACGTGGCCATCCTTAAGTTCCCGATTCGGGTCCCTTGGGACCTGCGGTTAATGGCCCAATTTGAGAGCCCGAAGGGCCCTAAAGGCCCGCCGGAGGCCGTATTCTGGCGTTCCGGCCCGCACTCTAATGCTAGTAAGAGAGTCATGCGGCTGATAAGGGGCCCTAAGTCGACGAGAGCGTTACGTCGGTCAGACGCCATCAGCAACGCACAGTCGGCTTCGTGGCGGTACTGGCCTGAGGGCCCATTTCGCAAGCAGGGGACAAAGCCACAGCCAGCCATTTACATTGATCGGGGCCCCAGCGTCCATCAGGGCCCCACAGCGCCTAACGGAGCCCTGGGTTGACAAGGGGTCCAGATAAAGGGGACAAGATCGGCTGTCTTCTGAGTTGATATGGTTCTATATGTTGGTCAGACATCATCAGTACCGCAGTCAGCTTCGTGGCGGTACTGGCCTGAGGGCCCCTTTCGCAAGCAGGGGACAAAGCCACAGCCAGCCATTTACATTGATCGGGACCCCAGCCCCAGGGCCCCACAGCGCCTAACGGAGCCCTGGGTTGACAAGGGGTCCAGATCAAGGGGACAAGATCGGCTGCCTTCTGAGTCGATATGGTTCTATATGTTGGTCAGACATCATCAGTACCGCACAGTCAGCTTCGTGCCGGCAGGGCAAGACGGCCCACTTCTCAATTAGCCTCAAAGCCGGGGCTGGTAATTTACTCTGGTCGGAGCCCCTGTATTTTTATGTTCCTCTGTTAGGCCCTCAGTTCCTAACAGAGGCTGCTGTGTTCGCAAGGGACCCCGAGCCGACCAAGGGTTGTGTTCGATGAGGTCCGAAGAGGGGCCCAGGTGGCCCAACGGAAATGACCTGAAATATCAGTCAGAGGTTTTCTTGGACCGTTTGAAGAACTCTAAGACAATGCGGGTGTTAAATAGGCCAGGGGCCACCAAGGGCGAATGGTTGATTCCCTGGAAAGTTGACGTCCTGGCCCTCCAGAAAATATTGCCCCTCATCCCGAGAGGCGCTGGCGCCGGCGGCGGTGCGGCCTGGCGCCGCTCCTGGTTCGCAGTGTGGGATGTTTTCTGCTAACACTTTTGTTATATCCATCACAACTACTGGAAACGCATAATGTTAGCATGATTCACGCACTAACTACGCGCGCTAGCGGCGACGACTTCAGGAAACAATATACCTTATTGTAACATTGCAAACAGCTTTACGAACCTGGAAAGAGAATCACAGATGGATTTAGGGAATATTTTATTACTCCAAAACCGGCGTGCTTTAGTCAGAAGGCTACTTAGTCCCGGCGATCCGGACAGAGAATGATGAGGAAATTAGCCGTGGCGCAATACTTACCACTCACCGCTGACGACGCCTATGGTTTGCGGGTTGTTTACGTTTGCTCTGCCGACCCCGTCCAAGTCGCGAGCTGGTACAGAGAGGGAGGTGAGGCCGCAGCTGGGTGTGAAGGGACCTCAACCATCATGGCGGCTCGGCTTTCGGTGAGCAGTCTGCGGAGTATGCAGCGTTCTCACGGGAGCCAGCTAAGAGCCAAAAGTCATTATTTCCCAAAGAACAGTGTTTTGTCTAGGCTCGGGCATGGTGCAGCGCCTCCGGTGGGCGTTGATGGCCGCATTGGTGACGGCGCCTGACGCGGTGCGGTGTCGGCGCAGATCGAGGCGCACGGGCACCTGCTGAGATGGGGTCGAGGCTCCGTGCAGCAGCACCGCCGCGTCTCCGACCTGTCGGCTGTGCGCTGTCGGGCGTCTCCGAGACCTTTCTCCGACATCCCGGGCCCCCGCAGCCTGCCGCTGCTCGGCTCACTGTGGACGTACAAGACAGGTAAGCCGGCGCGTGAAGTGTTCTTTTTGCCACTTCTTGACGAACATCTTTGACCTCGCCAACTTTTACTCTGAACGATCGTAGTGTGTGTGTGTGTGTGTGTGTGTGTGTGTGTGTGTGTGTGTGTGGTGGTGCGTGCGTGCGTGCGTGCGTGCGTGCGTGCGTGCGTGCGTGCGTGCGTGTGTGTGTGTGTGTGTGTGTGTGTGTGTGTGTGTGTGTGTGTGTGTGTGTGTGTGTGTGTGTGTGTGTGTGTGTGTGTGTGTGTGTGTGTGTGTGTGTGTGTGTGTGTGTGTGTGTGTGTGTGTGTGTGCTTATGACTCGTCACTCGCTCACTCACGTCACTCACTCACTCTCTCGTAACTCAATGTTGCTCACTGTCGCTCACTCTTATCTAACTTTTCACATGTTTTCCTTGAAACATGTGTGTAATATGGCTTCACTCGCACAGTTATCTGTGTACATAAACTGATAGTTAACATCTTTTAAATGATTGAACTGAGCTCAAGCTACACTCTACACCATCTTTGCCCTCGGCATTGTCTACCAACGTTAATTGCCGACCGGAACAGTGCAGAGTCTGCTGTCAAACTTGGTCTTATCACAAGACGTCAGCTTCTCACGCTTTCATTCAGCTTTCGTTGTCATGGCCTGGCTTGACAAGAACGACGAAGTGTCGCAGTTATGCCGCCGTCTGACTTTTACTGCCAGCTATGAGCGTCTGCAGACCGCGGTGACCGCCACCGTACTTGCAGGACGCTACGACGTGAACCGGTACCACGAGGCTTTGCGCAGCATGTACGAGCAGTACGGGCCGGTGGTGCGCGAGAGGTTTGGCACCAGCACCGTGGTGCACCTGTTCGAGCCAGACCTCGTGAGGTGGGTCGCGAGACCTCTCCGAGGTCACCATCAGCTGTGCAGCGGCAGCCTACGCACCAGACCGTTCTCCGCTTTAGGAAATTTATCGCGGAAGCAGTGGCGACGCGTTCTCTGAGTGGCTTGAAGTGGGATGATTTTTGCTTGGGTGATTTTTTCACAATTTCGCTTTTTCCGGATAATTCCATTTGACGTTACGCCATGTGATGTAACGCCGGATAACGGTATGACGTTTATTTTTCCGAATATTGTTAGGGTAGCTGCCCTTTTCCCAGCCCAAAGTCGATAGGGAAAATAAACTTTTGCACCGTGATTAGAATCATTCAGCGAGGCCTCATCTGGCCAGATTAAATAAATAAATAAAGAAGTCAACATATAGTAATATGTATATATATATATATATATATATATATATACACAATATATATATATTATATTATATATATATGTATATATATATATACAATATAACAATATATATATATATACATATGTGTGTGTGTATATTTGTGACTATTTGTGACCCACACCTATCGACGCCTGTCATCATGGGCGGTGTCGTCACCAAGTAAGCACGACGGTTGCGCTTCGCTCCATCAGGCAGGTGCACCAGCAAGAGGGAAAGTATCCCGCAGTGCCGCCGCTTCAAGAGTTGGTTCTGCTTTACCGACAGAAGAACAACATGAGTCTGGGACTGGGAAACACGTGAGTCTGGCTCGAACCGCCGGTGTTCGCGCTTGGTGTCGGCCAACACAGACATTAGGTGATGACGCCTGTAGCGCTCACTGCAGATCAGAGAGGGAATAATGCCCAGCCTACTTAGTGCATTGCATCAATGAGCAGTTGAACTCTGCGCAAGATTTCACGGCGTGATACCAAGGACAAACACTTCGGTGCTCATCGAGCTCCACGTCCGCCTAAGCTCTAGATGAGCAAGAAAGCTTGGACTTTAGATTATTTTCTCGACATTTTGAATTGCGTGTTTCTGTTGAGTTAGCTACCAATAATCAAACTTTCATACACCCAAAGATGCTGGCTAAGCGACGTGATATAGGCAAACAATGGTTACATTGGCAAAGATCTACGTTTTAAGCCGTGTGCATGGTCACGAGTCAACGAGCCACTCATGACCATGAGCACAGTTTGAAGCCTCGTCTTTTGTCACTAGAACAAGGACTTGCCAGATAACGTTATCTAACTAGCACCTCCTGGCACACTGTAGGTCAATTCTTGTCGGTATTTTAAAACTCTCAGCCCATATTGTTCAACTGAACTGTGCTAACATCTAAACTTCATGCGAAGACTTAACTTTCAAGGCAGCGTGCCACATTTAACGGCTTTCGTCACTTGCTCAAAACTAGACTGAAACTAGCTACCTGTTTCTGGAGCCTATACCCGACGGAACTCTGAGCAGCGGAGCACAGAAGCCAGTGCTGCTCAGCTAACTCTCATATCTGCCACAGCAACGGCGAGGCTTGGTACCGTCTGCGGAGCGCGGTGCAGCAGCTGATGATGCGGCCCAGGGAGGTGAGCTGCTTTCTGCCTCTGGTCGACACAGTCTCCCGCGCCCTCGTGGACAGAGTGGACCGCGACCTGGACGACACTGGGCAGGTGCCAGAGCTCACACCGCTCATCTTCAAGTGGGGCCTCGAGTGTGAGTGCTGCACGCGTTTGGGAGCGGCCGCCGGCCGTGGTGGTGATAATGGCGGGTGTTTTCAGGCGCATCGATTTCGTCGTCACGCTACAGTCATTATTAAGCGTATCGACGTGTGTGTTGGTAGACAGCGATTGGTGTGCGAGTGGAGGACAGCTGCAGAAGCAGCAAAGGCTGCTGTAAGGGGCTAGTGCTGCGCACCGTGCCTATCATTGACGGAAGACATCTCGACGGTGCTACATACCTTGCCTATCACTTGACAGAAGACACCCCGACAGTGCTGCCTACTGTGCCTGCCACTTGATGGAAGACATCTCAACAGTGCTACCTACCTTGCCTATCACCTGGCAGAAGACACCCCGACAGTGCTGCCTACTGTGCCTGCCACTTGATGGAAGACATCTCAACAGTGCTACCTACCTTGCCTATCACGTGACGGAAGACACCTCGACAGTGCTGCCTACCGTGCCTATCACGTGACGGAAGACACCTGAATAGTGCAGTGTGCTCTGAATATCACTTGGTAAAGGACACCTTGATTGACTTGGTCAGATGCGCTCGGAAAAAGCAGATTAAGAACAGATCGATCTGCCCTGCTTGCCCTGACTGCTCGACCTGTTCAAGACGTTTGGATGCCTCGATCGTGCACCGTCCTGAAAAAGCTCACCCGATATGGCATATCTGACCTCTGATTTAAAGGCTGCCTCGCCGAGCACAGTCAGACCGTACTGGGATGGCAGGTAGCGAATGTCTGGATGGTCTGGACTCAGGCCTCCTGGCGACTTGAGCTGCCATCTGTTGGATGGAACCTAAACTATGTTTCCCTGCGGATGCACGCAGCGTTCTAGAATTGCCGACTTTTGGTGTAAAGCAACACCTTATAAGGAGGAATTCTCCACTCCTTTTTCCTATATTTTATGGGAATTTTTCACTCCTACTTGATATTGTCTAACCACACATACCAAACCTACATTTCCCTTTCAGAGATTTTAAGATGGCATCCGAAAACCGAGCTCACTTGAACCCATCAGGCATAAACCTGAGGCCTCACCGAACCTGTACATCTATTGCTACAACCTGCCTCGCGTACATCTGAATCATGCCGATATATGCACAGAGCAAGGGCACCAGGTATCTCCGAGCCTGAGAGCCCCAGCGACTACAGCCGCTTGCATGCATCAAAATTGGTTTGTTTACATCATTGAAAACAATTTACAGCTGTGTGCCAAATGCAGGGTTTTCACACATCCCCTTTTTTTTTGGGGGGGGGGGGTCGCACCACACAAACATCCTACCAGCAAAGCAAAGCCTGGTACAAGCACCAGTAAAGTCTGGAAGATAATTTTACTCCATGTATTTCTTTTACCCCTAAGAAACTTGACCACTAAATTTCACCACTCCCGAAATGTAGGAGTGGAAAATTCAGCAAATTTGACCGAAAAACTGTAGTGCTTCATATTTTTAATTAGTTTGTTTTTCTTGGACTGATGCGAGTGCGGCATGACTTCATCTTTCCTTTCTTTCCGATTGTCTTTAACGGCACTATCTATGGCTTAAAACGTTGACCAATTTCTCCGCAAAATGTGCCAACTGCAATCTTGCGCATATCTCATACAGAAATTGGATTCATTCGCCTGCCGCCCAAACGTATTTGATATGTATCCAAATGCGAACAATTCATGAGGAATGAAAGAGATAATATGATGCACGGAACTTACGTTAACCGACATTGTCGCCCTGTTATACCCCTAGACAGCCGTTTTTTCATGGCGGTACCCAAGAACGATAAATCTAAGCTTTGGGACAGACCTGTCGCAACCAATACAGAAATGTTCGGTAGCAAAATTCTGCCCTCCGAAACTGTGTTTTCTCATGCAGATCTGCTCCTACTTTTCCGAATTTTTGTCTTGCAGGACGGTGGGCATGACTGCTATTAATACTTTGTGGGTGGTTTGGATCACCCTGTCTGTCACCAAACTATGCGAAAGATGCTACCTTTCTGTTTATGTATAGGGGGGGGGGGGGGGGTAGCAGAAAGAAGCTTACCCCCTAAAAAGCCATAAGTTTCTCCTGTGGAGCAGCTAGCTGCCCACCATACCTGCTTTTAACACATGAGTTGTGACCAGATTTAGCCATTTTCTGTTTTGATCCATCAAGTTTTTGTTCATAAGACAAATTCTGATGTCCGAATACATGCAATTAAACTATTGTATTCCATACTCTTAATTATTTACCTCAAATTTGTTGCAATGGTCCCTCATGTCTGCCTTAACAAGATGTCGTTCATGGCTGCCATGGTTTGCTGTCTGGCAAATTACTGTACTGTATATATGCACTTTTTAGCACATGAATGCTCTAATCTGCATAGCATAATTACAATGCGCGGTAGGTATTAGCTTTCAGCAAATAGTCAGACCATCCCATTTAAAATGCGAAGCTAACATTTCAACCTTTAAGTCAATAAGTATGAATAACCAAACTTAGATGGATGCCTTTACTGCAACTGAAAAGGCAAGCAGCTAAACTGGCTTTGTGACCATCTATAAGTTATGTTATGTTTGGAGAAGAGCGGTTGTTTTGTGGAGCATACCCACTATTTTCCTTGACAGAGGCTGACCACGACAAACAGATTAGGTTATTCAAAGTGAATTGAGAGGTTTGCATTTGTGTGTCGTCAACTTTGTCTGGTGTCAACAAGCTGACACAGATGAATTGAACCAAAACACAAGCTTAAACCAGTAAAAAATGAGCTATATCATGCTTTTATCACAACTGCTGCTGTCAAGAAATAGGTGAGCTAAGCTGAGATGATGTTTAAGATATAGGCTATTGTAGGTTAGGCTAAGTTGGTTAATTACACGGCAAGTACCAGAAGGAATTTTACAAGAATCAGTGACTCACAAAGGCTGCTGCGATACAAACACGTAAGACGGGATGAGGTGAGGTAAAAGTTCTTTTGGTTAGGCTTGGTAAAGTTACTTAAATAGAAATAATCATTGGTATTTTGCAAGTAACAGCGACATAATATTGATATTTCCTGAACATATTTCAACAGAAGCCAGCAGTATGTTGTGTTTGATTTGTTGATGCATTGATGTACAGGAGTCCAAGGTGTTTTTGTTTGAATGCTTTATGCCCGTTAAATTTCTTGCTGTTTTTTGTCGTTGAATTTATTTGCTTTGTTTTGCGTTAAGAAAATTCTTTGGAAGGGGAGTAAAAAGTGCGGCATCAAAACATTGATGTTATACAGTTGTTGATGCTTATTACGCTATGATGAAATTACTATTCTTTAATGTTTTCTATTTCACTGCAATGACCTACAGTGTCGAAAAACAAGAGCATTTTGTCATGTTTGTGATATTACTTCCATGCCAACTTGAAATGTATGTCATTGTTTGCGGCAGCATTTCCCACTAACTCATAAGTTCCACTTGTTTAATTTAATTTTTCACTCCCGTACGATCTTTTTGCGATGAAATTTTTCACACACCTATTCCCACGCTAGGTCAAAACCGATTCTAGCTCACTGGACGCACACAGCTGCTTGAAAGTTATTGCTCTGACCTGAGCAGTATTGTTGAGTTAGAAATGCCCATCGACAAATGGCCGTAGGGCGCACTCACAGCGGTTTCGATAAAGTTGGCCAAAATTGTGTGCTTCGTTTCTTTCGCATTAAGCGGTTCAATACGAATTCATTCAATCCCGGAACGTCAATCACATTCTTAACCCTTCGAAAACTGCACGTCCCGGGTAGCTCACTATAACTTCCGAGGGTTATTGAACTGCATCATCAATTAGAGTGCATCAATAGTCACGCCTTGCAATGACCAAACCCCTTAAAATTATGGTTATGGATGCCGACAACGATCTTGGGCCTCTCAGGTTTTCGATGTGGTCAAGTAATGCTTTGGTTCGCTTATTCGGATCAGTAAAGCAAAAGATGTTATGCCAAAATACGCCAAAAAACACTGTTTTTTGTCATTGTACTTTGATACTTGCTCTCCACGCTTTCTATATTGCTTACCGGCGTGTTCTCTTTACCCCCTCCTCCATCCATTGACAGCAACATGGTGTGCAGAAGGCTATAAACGTGAAGGCTCGAACTCCCACGAGACAAAAGAAAGCTGTGCGTACGTCAGGGTCTGAAAAGCAGACGCAGGGTTGAGACGCACAGCGTTTAAAAACAATCATTTGGTGATATCACACATTCATGAACTTATCGGCCAAAAAGCACAGAACGGCAACGCTGGACCGATCCTCCACCCCGCGTCTCGAGGAAGGCAAGGTAGCCTTCCCCACCGTGCCATGCTGGCGTGGAGTGCCCCTCCGGTCCCTACAAGGCACTGAGCCTCATTTAGCTCTGTTGTAAATTTGTTGGTGACCACATCGCTTGTTGTGCACATCTATCGCGAGGACATAAGTGATTGTCGCTCCACTTTCCTGAGCGCGATGCGTGCTGAATGGTACATTTCTCGCAATAATGTTGCGACTTGACATCCCACTTGCGTGTAATATCACCGAGTGCACAGAACAAACCAATAATACTGGCGAATGGGGACCACCACCGCGTGGCCTGACCGGACCCCGCGCGCCGACAGCGGCCACGCACGTGTGCGCGGAGCGGCGTTTCGGCGCGCTATCTGGTGGCGCCGACGAGCGGCGAGCCGAGCAGCTGATCGCCGCCAACCGCCAGGTGGCGAAGGTCGGAGGCCGCCTCAAGTTCTCGCTGCCGCTCTACAGATACGTCAGCACGCCCGGCTGGCGGCAGCTGGCTGCTGCTGAGCGCCACTTCAGCAGGTGTGGCTGTCCGTCTCGCTGCTGGGCGAGCCGCCGAGCTCACCGTCACTGGCAGGCCGCCACGGAATGCGGCGTGGGTTATGCCGTATCTGGAGTCGCCATGGCGCGCCGCTCTCAAGATGGAAAAGGTGGACCAGTCGGCGCGCGATGATGTCGATAGGCTCTGCTCGATGACTTGTGTCGCGCTCAACAGTTTGTCTCTCAATAGCCCACTTTTACTTCTGATCATTTGTTCTTTTTCTTCTTGTGTTTGGTTGTTCATTTGTATTTGCCCTCCACTACGGCTGCTTGTACCCTAACGCCTAGTCTTTTCAGTCACGTTCTCGTATACCCTGGGTGAAATGTCAGTGAGCTCCTGCAGAAACGGCACTTCCCCTTTTCAGCGTCACAATAGAGCTGTTCGACAATGTCATCAGCGAAATTGAAAAGCTGGCTGAGGAAGGCAAGCTGCAAGACGGCCAGTACAAATTTCTCTGCTTTCTGATGACCAGGCCCAAAGTGTCCAGGAAGGACGTGCTCATAATAGCATACTCTATGTTCAACGACGGACTCTCTACGGTCAGTTGTCATCATTCATGGCTTTGCGGCCAAACAGTAATGATCTTACTCAATGTAAAATGCGTTTTGCAATGGGTTAAAATGCGCCTGACTACAAACATACATGGCGGATTTGAGGCTTTAACTCATAATACTGATCAGCAGATGCTACTACAGCACCTTTTTCTTTTCCCAAATATATCTTTCGTACACCGACTTTCTGTGAATCCCTGTTCCGTTCAGCAACACCAACATTACAATGACTGTCGACGAGTATCGCTAGTGGTCCCACCTTCCGTATGGCTGGAGTGTGTCTGCGACTGGTGCTGGCTGCTCGTGCCATCGTCACTGCTCGTCCCACGACAGACCGTGCCGGCCCTGCTGTGTGCGCTGTGGTGTCTGGCCCACACGCCAGCGGCACAGCAGAGCCTGCACAGCGAAATCACCGCCGCGCTGCCCGGCGGCGAGGCCCAGGAGGTCACGGCCGACGTCATTAGCAGGCTGCCCTTCGTCAAGGCCGTGCTGAAGGAGACGCTGAGGTGAGTCTAGGACTTGTCCTAGCAGTAAGCGAGATCCATTCAAGAACCAGTTAGGGGAGGCATTGTGTCGCTCATTAGTCATGCCCAGCGGTCTTGGTAGAGGTATGCTCGCGTTCAAGGGTTCCGCTGTTTCAGTGCAAAAGGGCTGTTAAAAATGTTTCGACCCTGCACTAGGTTCGGAGTCCAAGCCGTACTTTCAGGCTCCCTGTTGGCTGATGAGTAGTTTGATCCCTTCGTCCCAAAGCTGCAGTGGCGTTTAGGATAAACCATAACAACACGGTGTCATTTTCTGTTACGACGGCAGCATTGGAACGAAAGATACCCTACGACTTGCAGGTATCCAATCATTGCAGCGAACGCCGTATTTCCGATAGATTTGCTACATCGAATAAAAGATAGTGTTCGGATGTAGAATTTGATCAAATTCCGGCCGCCTACCGACAGATACAAAGGATATGATGGCAACAGTAATGTGACTAAAAATACTCTGACAATATAATGGTAATATCAGGATCACAGTTTGCTCTCTGACACTGAGCATTACCAAATGGACCAATCACTATCAGTCTTAGTGTGAACAGCCAATTGCCATTTCTAGACCTTCTGATTGACTCATCAGATGGTACATTTCAGGCAGATGCTTACAGAAAAGCCACCAGCCAGAGTAAATGCATGAGTGGAAGGGACATTTTCCAGAAACATATAAGAAAGGAATCATTTGGGCTTACATCCGCAGGGCTTTGATATATTGTTCTTTGTGGAGTACTTTCGATGGGAGCTAGACCATTTGCGTCAAATGCGTAATAATGGATACACAAATGCTGAGTTTGCAAATGCCGCGGGGTCATTACACTGGGTCCTTACCAGATAACTTGCTAAAAAAATAAACACTCTTTGGGGATTGTCGCGAGACATTGGAATTTGGAAGTAACGCTTGGAGTGTTGTTGTTAATGGAAATTAATGCTCGGAGTAAATGCAATGAATTTGAATGAAAATGGTTACGGATTTTCGCGCATAAGTGGGGCTTCTTATAGATAGAGCCTCTTGAAACAATCATATTTTTCAAAATCAGAAATGATGCTTTGCATGCTTTTGAAATAGTTCTAGGACAAAAAAAAAATCAAAACGCAAAAACTCAAATCACACGAAGTCAAATGGAGGGAAGTCGAATAGGAATCAGCTGAACGGGATAAAAGTTAATTGCAAAAGGTCAAACAAGAAAAAGTCAAAAGGAGCAGAGGCCAAATGAAAAAAGCGGAACAGGCCAACAAACAAAACACGTATCCTAGCCAGTCGCCCGTGATGTCTCAGAGTGTACGAATGCCCTACGGGCCCTTGGTCAGTTGTTCGTCCAGGAGAGCTAGAAGGCCCTCCACGCCATGGTAGATGTCTTGACGCGCCAGTTTCAGCTTCCAGTTCCAGCATATGTGGTGCGGCCATTATGTCTGATAAGGAACTTTGGGGAGTGTAGAAAAACCCGCCCATTAGAGTGCAGGCAAAAAAATGAACCGTCATTGCTACATATATTTCCCGAGGTGGAACGATCACGACCTTATGTACTTTTTTATTGCAACACAGGGTCTCTTAATCCGGAACAGGGCCGTTCTGGAACAGGAGGTCCCTTGATACATAAAGGGATCTCCTGATCCAGAACAGGGGCCTCTATTTATAGAGGGTGCCTCCTAATCCGGAACAGGGACCTTATGACTCATAAACGGGTATAATGAGCAGAAACAGAAAACCTTAACAGAAAACGGGACCTACTGATTCAGAACAGAACCTGCCTAGCTCAAACTGAGGCTTCCTGATTAAAAATGGGGCCTGTTGTTGCATAAAAGAGGCCCCTGAACTCAAATAGGGACCTCAAAGCTCAGCCTAATCCACGGGGCCTCACTGACCTGAATTTTGATATGTGCGTAACTACATAACTTCAGGTTGGGTAGAAGGGCCCTCCCTAAATTAGGGCGACAAACACATACTATCGTCCTCCTGCCGGCAGACAGAGGACAGTCATCTCACTGCCCTCCTTCGCCCTTGCTGCATCGCCCTCGACTTGCATAGAGCTGCGTAACAGCTGTATATTGTAAATAGGCTTCAAAAGCGTTTGACGGATGGCGAAACTAAGGTTTATGACAACCTCACGAGGATTCAGAGGATTTGGCAAAAAACGAAATAAACATTACAAAACCTGCGTTAGCCCCATCATTAGCATAGGGTGAATACCACGAGCGTCGCCTACCCAACGGCTTTTACACATGGGCCAAATGCATGTCACTGAAAGCACGGGCAGAGTGCATCAGATGCAAGGGTGGGCTCGAGGGCAACACACATTTCCCGCGCCCTGCGACCTTCAGCCTTTTATATTAACATACTTTGTCACAAAGTGTCAGAGGTGTCCTTTGAAAGACACTTCCATTGGCGTACAATACTGTGGTTTGGTCAGGCCCCGTCGCGGCGTCATGGCGAACTTGTTGGATATACTTTGTAAGGCCCTCGTGCAGGCCAGTAGCAGTTGCCTGAAAGGTCGGTCGTAGGAATCAGGAGATTGAGCAGAGCGGGAGGAACTAGCCCGGTGCCTGAATATCAGGCATAGTTCACCGCAGGCCAAGAAGCAGACGCGCATGCTGGCGACTAGCACGTGAATGAAAGACACCAGGTCTTACAGCAATGCAGCGCCTGGCAGTCATCAGCGCATTAGGGTATAGTCACATCCGCTGCAACGTGACGGCCACGTCACTCGTACGTACCCATTGGAACAGGTCTGAGCGAAAACGCACTGCGCACACACCCAGCGGTACATGCCGGTTCTGGTCCTATTTCAGACTGTACCCCATCGGCACGGAGGTGTCGCGCATTACGGATCAAGACATGGAGCTGGGTGGCTATGTCATTCCTGCAGGGGTACGTACTCCACTAGGCCCTACGTTATCGGTGACCCCTTACGAATGCCACAAGTTTTCAGTAATCAATGGTCAAAGTGGATGCCATGGCGTTCCTTTCCTTTCAGCGCGCGGTACGCCGCAGTTCCAAGCTTTGACCCCTCCTTGTAACTGCTGGAAAGTCGCTAAATCTCCACTATCGTATAACCTTCAACCTTGTGCTAGTCATTTTGGACGTTCCACAACATTGGTGCATGCATTATGTGACCACAGTTTAATGAGCGTACGGTGATTAATGTGCTAGAAGCGAATGGTAGCTATAGACTGCTGGCATCGCAGTCCAATTCCCAACCAACCGTGAACGACAGACTGCGGCTCTGGCTCCGCCACGAAGGTTTGCATAGTTTGCTGTTTGCAAAGATAGAGCGGCGAACGTTTCAGCGAATGGTGCCTGCCTATTGGAATGCCAGGCCATGCCGTCCATTGGTCAAGTGATTTAGCACCAAGCAAGACCGTTATAAGCAGGCACAAATAAACGTTGAGTGTTTAGCGAAGCGACAAAGGAAGCATGGGCAAAGACGCATGATCATGACGCCCAAGTTCGTGGTCAAATAAAGCATGCGGTAGAAGAGGTTGCCGGGGATTCATATCCTCGTTTGAATTCACGCACTCGCGGCATGTTCCCGATTCTAGCCTTGTCCTTGTTTCCAAGTGTCCGTCGTGGAGACAAAGGCGCAGCCAGAGCACGGGCTGACGGAACTTGAGTCGTCCACTTAAATGCCCGGAGTGCCCCCTAAATGAACGGCAAGAGCCCTGCTGAGGTTCTTTGCCATGACAAATTCTTCCAGTTTGGGGGCTGTCTAAAAGTCCTTAAAACAGAAATTCTTTCGGAGGCACTTTCTAAGGAAAACAATGTCTTTGTGATAGAAATGCCTCAAATGTAGAACCCCTCGGGTTGGCCCTTCCCTTAGCAAATGTCTAGCAGTGCCTTTGATAAGAGGCAGCCACTACCTTGCAGGCGTCACCGGTGTTGAGGTCACTCATGTGTAAGCGATACCTCAAATACGGAGCTTATTTTTACCGCCATCTGTGCCCTGTTAATCCCTCCGTTAGCCATTTTGTGGTTCATGGCGGTGCTCAATAATGCCAAATCTAAGACACTCCAGTTTCACTACCTCACCACGCTACATTATCCTGCTGTACATAGCTTTAGGACGGACCTGGTGCAGCTAGTACAGAAGTGCATGGTAGGGAAATTCTGCCCGTCGAAACTGCAAACCTCCTCTTACTTATTTCACATTTTAATGTTGTAGGTCAGGGGGCATGATTAGTTTTTACATTTTGCTGGTGGATTGGATTGCCCTGTCAGCAAACCATGCGAAAGATACTGACCTTTGTGTGTGGTGGGGGGGGGGGGGGAAGAGCAGAAAGAATCATGCCCTTAAAAAGCCCGTAAGTTTTCCCTGTGGAGCAACTAATTGCTAACCTTACCTGCCTTCAGCACATGATTTGTGACCAGATTTAGTCATTTTCTGTTTTAATTCGCCGGGTTTTGTTCATAAGATAAATAATGTTGCACAAGACATGTAATTAAACTATTATATTCCATACTTTTTATTGTTTGCCTCAAGTTTGTTGAAATGGTCCCTTATGTCTGCTTTAACAACATATTGTCCATAGTTGCCATGGTTTGCTGACTGGCAAATGACTGTACTGTTGATGTGCATTGTATTTTTCAACGCACGAGTACTCTAAGCTGCATATCAATTGCAATACGAGGTAGATATAATTTTTAGCAAATCGACTGTTTCATTTAAAGTGTGAAGCTAGTGCCTCAATTTTAAGGCATTCAATATGAAAAACAAGACCTAAATGGATGTTTTCGCAGCAGCTGAAAAGGCAAGTAGCAAAAAATGGTTTTGTGGCCATCTTCAAGTTGGGTTACGTTTGAAGGATAGTGTTTTGTGGAGCGTACCCACTATTGCCATTGGCAGAGACTAACCATGCCAATCAGAACAAGTTTTTCACAGTGCTTTGAGAGGGTTTGAATTGTGCGTTGTCAGTTTTGTCTGATGTCAACAAGCTGACGAAGCAAAACACAAGTTGAAATCAGCCGAAAATAAGCTTTATCATGTTCTTATCACAAGAACTCGTATCAAGTTACAAGAAACTTAGACAGGATGAGATAACGTAAGGCTTCTTTAGGTTAGGCTTAGTAAGGTTACTTTCATGGAAATAAGCATCTGTATTTTGCAATAAACAGTGACATTATACTTATCATTCTTGACCTTATCTAAACGGACGGCATGGATATGTTTCATGATGTTTATATCTCCTGACCCCTATCTCAAACAGAAGCCATAGATATGTCTGTGACAATTGATTTGGTGATGTGCTGATGTGCAGGAGTCCGAGGTTTTTAGTTGTTTGAATGTCTCTTGTTGAATTTGTGGTCGTCCTTTCTGTTGTTGAATTCCTTTGCTTTGTTTTGTGTTTAAAAAATCTTGTGAAAGGGAAGTGCAACATGCACCATTAAAACGTTGGTGCTGCATGGTTTTTGCTGTTCATTACACTTTTATGAAAATTACTATTTTTCAATGAATTCTGTTTCACTGTAATGACCTACGATGTCAAAACGTGTTTGTCGTGTTTCTGATATTACATCGATGCCAACTTGAAATGTATGTCTTTGTTTACTGGAGCATCTCTCACTGACTTATAAGTTCCAACTTTTGTAAGTTGAATTTTTCACTCCTGTACGGTCTTTTTGCGATAAAATTTTTGACTCTCACCCTAGTTAAAAGCGATTCCAGCCCACTGCCCGTTTCTGAACATCCAACCCCCGTCTATATACGAAAGGGGGAATGGGAAGCTGACGAAAGGTGCGCTGAAAAGTCCGCCCTAGCTGCGTTACGCACACTTTGATCCCCCGGTCACTACCCCAACCCATCAGACCCATGTATCACTAGTTGTTAGCTGACAATTCAACACCAGCCGTCCGCCAGACGCACGTGGACCTGAACCAGTCGGTGCAGCTACGCTCAGCCAGGTGGTTCGCCGACCCGGAGGACTTCCGTCCTGAGCGCTGGCTGGGCGAGCAGAGGAAGGCCATCCACTCGTACCTGCACATCCCGTTCGGCCACGGCACCCGTATGTGCGCAGGTAAGTCGGTATCCAGCGGACGGCGGTGCCGGCCGGCGCTGAAAACCAGACGGAACGCTACTTCGCATGGTGCTGGTGGCTGCACGTACTTTGTTCGTAGTAGGTGACTGTTAGACACGTTCGTGTCTGTGACAGTTGCCTGTGTGCGTATGGATGCGTATTGAAACGTCCAGAGCTCATAACGTCCAGCGGTCAAAAAGTCCAGAATCGCAGCATCCAGCGTTCACAACATCCAAAAACCGTCCAATATCCCTGGACAGAGGAGACCCAGAGACGTCATGCGGCAGAGTGCTGCACAGTTCAACCACTATGCATGGATATGGACAACGTTTTGTTTCAGCACACGAACTTTGCCGCGTCCGCACGTGCTTGGCCGTTGGCGCATTAAACAATTCAAAACTTTGACCCCTCTCTCGTGGCATCGGAAATAGCTGGTTACTCGGCAGTAGCTGCACGGTAATCGTGGAAAGTACATGTCGGGGTGCCTGCTATTTGGTAATAAGGGCTATGGATGAAATAAGTCGCGGTGTTTGGTTCGGTTATGACCTGTATGTGTCGGTGATGTTTCGCAACTCATTTTTTTAAAGGAATTGATGACTGATGTGTGACGCTGACTGATTTGATATCTTGGTTGGCGCACATATAGATATCCAGCTTCTGCCACGCTAACCTATATTGTTAGTGATTTTATTTGTCCGTTTCCCCTCCCTCCTCTCAATTGCAAAGTCTTTCACACACTTCTGCAGACGGGACTTATTGTGAATTTTACATGTTTTTATTCTCAAAGAGAGGGGGTGGGGTCTGTTTCATTAGCTGAGTCAGGATACTACTCCCTGGTGAGACATGTTAAATGGCCCAACCTGCAAACAATTTGTTTCTTCAATTAGGTACGTTTTAAACGGGGCGTGGTTTACCAACATAAGTTGGTTGGCTGAGCGATGAAAATAAGAAGCGTATCGTGATAATATGCCGACAAATTGGTTTCTCTCCGAATTTGCCTCACTCTTTCACAAATCTGCAGGCTGCAGCCCAAGTTGCGGCGAACCCCTGCAACTTGACAGGGAACCGCACACCTGGTTGCAAGTAAAAATGAAATAAAGAAACGAACGTTGGCAGCGAATGTATTCAACTGCCTGCCAAGCGTCATGCAAAACACTGCGCACGTGTCGCGCTTAAGGGCGCTGTTGATTCATCATCTGAACAGCGTAGCCGAGTACCGAGCTGGTTTGCAATATATAGGCTGTCACCGAGCTGGTTTGCAGTATATAAGCTGAATGAATTGGGAGAATCGTGAGCTTGCACTCGCCATCCGCTTCATTAATTCTAACACGCTTTCTTCCTTTTACGCTTCAGAACCTCCTAAGCAGGGGTGGTAGAACCCGCTGACTTGGTGGATAAGGTCGGCGACAAAAATGCATATACTTACAAGAAACTTGGTGCCAAAAATGTTTTCGGACAGCAAATTTTGCTGACGGCCAAGACGAAAAAATACAGTACACTATTCAAAACATAGCATGGGGTCTTCATACATAAATGCTATGCCTCCATGGTAATACATTTCGTAACACAACACAAGCAAACGTTTCTGTAACGATTCTTTACCGTACTCTACGGCACCCTGGTATCTTTCCTAGGTTTCATTCCAACTCGGCGAAAAAATATCCTATGATTTTTAGTTGGTCGGCCGGCTCGGTGACATGTCGGCGACAAATCAAAGTATTTCATATGGCTCGGCCAGTCGGCTGATTCGCTGTTTTTTACAGCCGACTCACAGTGCCCCAAACTAGACAATGTACAGTACTGAAACAGATATAGATATGGGGATCCATTTGATCGCAAGGGCGTGTTCAATTGTTGCGATGCGACTGACATGAGGTGAGCGGTGACTTTCAATGCACTGCTACTGTGCAAGTGGCATTCGCATTGCAGTGCCATGAATAACTGCCTAGGGATTAATTTCTGGCCCTGTTTACTTCGTTGCCTGTGCCGTGATTCAGCATCCTGTCCTCAGCGACGAGAAAAATTGACAGTTCAGGGTAAGTCGGCGGGATGATCCGGTGTAGGTGTACTTTCCTACCTAACGTTAGAAAAAATCACTGCACACCATTCGTCGTGTTCAAGGCGGCACATATCGTAAATAATCTCAAAACAGGTAGAATCATGCTCCTACCTTCGAATTTCAATAACTTCGATGGTGGGCTCCTGAGCGCCGCGCGCACCTCACCGCCTGGACTCCCCAGCGCCGTTTCTGCGTTGCCGTTGCGTAAATACAATATTTCTGCTTACCAAGAACTCTACAAAATGTACGGGACCAAGGTAAACCATTCGTCATGTTTAAGGCGGAACATATCGTAAATAATTTCACAACAGATAGAATCATGTTCCTACCCTCGAATTTTAATAAATACGATAGCGAGCTCCCGAGCGCCGCATGCCCCGCACCGCACTGCCTCGACTTCCAAGCGCCGTTTCTGCGTTGTTGCGAAGGCACAATATTTCTGCTTATCAAGAACCATAAAACATGTACGGGACCAAGGTAACAATAATAAAGCAACCAAAATCGTTTCTTATCGAGTTTAGGTACATTTATGAAACACGCAGGCCAGAATAGTCCAGAACATATCCTCAACTAGCCAAACCTAACCTAACCTAACCTAACTTAACCTAACCTAACCTAACCTAACCTAACCTAACCTAACCTAACCTAACCTAACTGAGAATAGACCAGAGCCTAAGCTAAGCTAAGCTAAGCTAGCCTGACCTGACCTGACCTGACCTGACCTAACCTAACCTAACCTAACCTAACCTAACCTAACCTCAGAATAGACCAGAACCTAAGCTTAGCTAAGCTGACCTACCCTACCCTAACCTAACCTAACTAACCTAACATAACCTAACCTAACCTAACCTAACCTAACCTAACCTCCCCACCCTATATCCCCTTCAACCCAGCATCTCATTGGCATCCATGTTCCATGCCATATATAGGTGCCATATAGTGAGCTTTTATTTAGCTGCCATGTTCTCATTTTGCTTTACACTCCCCACCCAATCCCCATGCAACCCATGGTCCCGTTGGCGTCAAGGATCAAATTTCATGGATTCTTGCTACCTTGTCCCGGTACATTGTTATGGTTCGCAGTAATGTTGTGACCCGAGCAGTAATGGCGCCGGTGTCGCGGGTGCTGTGTGTGTGTGCGGCGCTCGGGAGGTCGCCATCGTAATTATAAAAAAATTGAAGTTAAGATCATTAATCTACCTGTTTTGTGATTATTTACGATATGTCCTGCCTTAAACATGACGAATGGTTTACTTTGGTCCCGTACATTTTGTACAGTTCTTGGTACGCAGAAATATTGTATTTACGCAACGGCAACGCGGAAACGGCACTGGGGAGTCCAGGCGGTGCGGTGCGCGCGGCGCTCGGGAGCCCGCCATCGAAGTTATTGAAATTCGAAGGTAGGAGCATGATTCTACCTGTTTTGAGATTATTTACGATATGCCATGCCTTAAACACGACGAATAGTGTACTATGATTTTTTCTAACGTTAGGTAGGAAAGTACACCCTGACCGATGATCCGATTAAGGTAGAAATTGACCTGTGATTATCCAAACCGCCTTTTCAAGACACCGAAATGGCTGTTGACTCTTTGAAGCAGTCAAAAGCGGCCAGCCTTCTTCACTTTCGAAGAACCTTGGATTTGATGTTGGAGTCTGATGGCACTTCTCATGAAAGGGAATAAATAGCAGGAGGTGATAATGGTTCTGAAGTACAAATTTATGGCATTTTGCGCATGCCCTAATTGAGAATGGTTACCAGTCACATAGATCTTCAAACCAGGATGTTCCTACTTCTTATTCAGTTCAGGGCTCCACCCCCCCCCCCCCCACGTTAAGTTTGTGAAGGAGTGTGCTAATCTGGGGGGCATCCATATTTTGAGGGCTACATAGCTATCTTCAAAAACTCTGCCCCTCCTTGAAATGTAGTTACTTTACCAGTGTTTTGATGGCTTTTAAGCAATTATTATCATTTCAACCTTTTGCTAACATGAATCTTGGTTGCTAGAGATCTGCATGATACCCAGTGATGTAGGCCATGGGAAAGCAATGAAAGTGAGAGGGGAGTGGTGTAGGAAATGTAGGCAATGAGGGGGGGGGGAGGTGCAGGTGTCATTGCCATCTCCCCTTTATCAAGAGTTTTACTTCAAATAGCAGGTAGTTCTATGGTATTGTGGTCCAACTGGCCTATAAGGTCATTGAATGGTTAGCATTTGGTTGTCTCTGAAGACAATGTTGGCTATTTCCTGATATCACCCCTACTGTAACAGGAAAGCTCTAGAAGCCATTCCTTCTGCAATGCTCATTCATGTGTATATTTTCTTTGCATTTGTGAGCATTGCATGGATGCAAATATGGTATATTTCAGTACTGTTTTTGCTAACACTGAGTCCTAAAATTGTCCCGATGGAATCATTAGTATAATCACTGTATGCATTTAAATGCAATCTGAGAAGGCAGACAGACTACCTCATATGCAACCTACATTGATAGTAGTAATCAATATAGTTTGTGCGGCGGTGGCATAGTGACAAAAGTGCTAGTTTTATGCATGATTAGGGAGAGATAGCAACACATGAATCATGGTCAACAAATTAAGCTCAGAGAAGGTTGTGTGGTATAGAAAGCTCTTATCTCACATCTTTTATATTTTTTCAATTAGAAATGTTGGCTGAGGGAGGACGGAATCAGCATTGAGGAAGTCCAACCCAACACAGGTATTAGGTAGTGCCCCAGAAATGAATTTGAATTGATACCCCTGCATTATACATGACAGGCATCACAGACAACCTTAGGTTTCCATGCTACTTGCATACAAAGTGCAATTTTGGCGTACTGGTTGAATTTCTACCAATTTTTAGATGTTGGTAATGAACTGTGTCATTCTGCCGTAGCAGTTGGTGTTTTCATGATCTAAAATGCAGATTTCTACACCAGCATACATAAAATGAATAAAAGAGGATGGCAGCCAACAATTTTAACCCTTAACCTCATTCGCCATATTTTGTAACGCGAACTGGTGGAGGGGGGATTCCCTGGCGTTTACAAACTAAGAAAGGTCAAGCCTCGAAAACAAAACAAGCAGCGAACTGACCAGCGAAATCTCGTGATTGGTAATAAGTCTCCTGTTGTTAACTGACTCCACTAGACCAAGTCGAAGGTCAAATGTTCTTGAAAACCAAATATCAGCTTTGCACGCTCGTAGGAACGAAACCGTACGGTGAAGTGGCATGGAACATAAAGAGGTGTGCCCCTTGTTTAATTATAAGTACAATGGCATGTAGTTGTCTGTTTGGATCTATATTTGTAATGTAGGGTTTCGTTCATGCAATAG